CTGTAGCCAGGGCTGAGGGTCCAGATGCCCAGTGAGTGCTGAGATGTCTGACAGGTGGGGTCTGGCTCCAGGTCAGCAGGCTGGTGGCTGCCTGCGCTTGGGTCTCGGACCAGCCTCAGTCACAGTGGTCAGCCTGGTGCCAGCTGCTGCCCTGGGCGAGCCCGGGAGACTAGGCTGGAAGAGCTTCCTGGAACACTGGCACAGCCTGCTGGCTACTTCCTTTGTCTCTCAGGACCGGTGGCCAAGCTCTGAGTCAAACGACGCTCATTTGCCTGGCATCTCGACCCCTCCCGGGCAGTTTCCGACAGCGGGACCCCACCTGGTGAGGCAGCATTGCTCACAGGTCTCAGACTGCCTTTGCCCCAAGAATTGGCCCTTTTTGTCGAGGACCCCAAAACCTTGTGTAGAAAGCACCACCCAGATGGGGAAGCAGAGAGAGTGGGGGATCTCAAGTCACACTGGTGAGTGAAAACCCCCAAGATACACTGCTCAGGGTTGGGGAGAGTCACAGAGGCTCTGCCCAACGGGGTCCTGAGAAATAACAGATCGAGGGGAGAAGCCGCTGTGGGTCGTCAAGCTTGTGCCCAGCCAGTGTCCTCGGCTCTTGTGGCCTTGGGGGACATGCTGCCCCTGTGGGCTGTGTTTGATCTGAACCGAGTCACCCAATCAAGCCAGCACTGGAGCTGGACCTCACAGCTGGGCTCTTACTGTAACCAGGTGTCCCCTGAGGGGGTGAGGGCAGGAGGCCCAGCGGAGGGGTCTTTCTTCACTGGGCAGCCTTTCGGCCCTTGAGGTGTAGCCACGTGAGGATGGGGTACAGCGGAGCCACCGCGGGAGGAGAAGGCCAGGAACCCCTTAGCAGAGGGACGGCGACTTTGCAGCACAGCCCTGGGATCCCGGCTCCTTTGCTGAGGTTGAGCTAGATGCCCCTGCCGGCCAGCTCGGTGGCTCATGTCACAGCAGGACGAGGAAGGGGGATGAACCTTCACCATATGCCATCTGCATATAGTCCAGAGCCGCCTCCTCTCCAGGGTGCTGGGCTTTATCTCTTTCGCCCCAGCTGTCCCCAGCGCAGCCATGCTTATCTGGGGTGCGGCTCAGAGAACCCTGGAGAGGGCTGGCTTCTAGCTAGGGTGCCCTCCTGATAGCTGCCACCTTTATCAGCCTGCTGGTGGGCCGTGCCCTGGTATATCCCATTCTCTTCCTCACTGTGGCATAAGTACTTTCTCCCAATCCCCCTGAAGGGGCTGCGAGTTCATATCCATGGTGACAGCAGCAGCAAACCCTTCTCCGTCCACCCAGAGCCTCGCACTGTGCCCATCCGCCCCCATCCCGCAGATGTGGAAGCTGAGGCCCAGAGGAGCTGGGCATCTGGTCCAGGTGTGAGGTTGAAAGCAGGAAGCTGGGCGGCAAACCCGCCCACAGCTCCTCCCGGGACTGCCTTCGTCAGGGCCGAGACACGGCGGCCCGATGGATTCACCTATTTGCTGAAGGTTAGATTCCATTTCGGGAATTGTAAAGGCACACTGTGAGGACAATGAAGTGCTTGTTTACTCGTCAAAGTCCATGAAAATGAAAATTTCATCATGTGTTCTGGTTCTTTTAATAAAGAAACACGTGTGAGAAAGTTTCCTTTGTTCTGTGATCGGCTCCTTCCCCCTTCCAGGCTGTGGGCCGCCGGCCCGTTGCCCGTCCACAGTCTGGACACTTTTATTTCTTTTTTTAAAATCCTCACCAGAGGACACTTCTCTATTTATCTTCAGACAGAGTGGGAGGGAGGGAGGGAGAGACACACACACACACATGCACACGCACACGCACACACACAGACTGGTCGCCTCCCGCATGACCCCGACCAGGGGGACCAAACCGCAACCCAGGTACGTGCCCTTGACTGGTATCGAACCTGTGCCTCTTTGGTGTGCAGGCCTATTCTCCGACCACTGAGTCAGACAGGCAGGGCATGGACATTTTTAATGTCTTGAGATGGTACTGCTTTGGGCGGGGGGCGCCTCAGGGCAGCGTGGCTCTCTGGCACCTGCTGGGTGGGGCGCAGCACGTTTTGGCCGGAAGGGCTGGGTTGGATCTTGTAATGGGCAGGGTGTGCACCCTTCGTAAGCAGTGGGGGGCTCTAGGGTGTCAGAGGGCCTTTGTCCCACCCTAGTGACAGCTAAGACCCCCTCAGTGTTGGTGACCACCACAGCAGGACAGCCCCCACAGCCTGGGGGCTCTGGACGGGCAGTCCGCCCTTCTGCAGCTTCAGAACCCTCCTCTGTGAGGTGGAGCTGACGCCCCGAGCGCTGGCAGCGCCGCCGTGGGTGCTGAAGGCAGGGCTGCCACCCCCTGTGCAGAGGGAAGCAGCTCCCGGGCTGAGGGCTGGCGTCACTGGAGGGACTGAGCTGCCTCAGGATGCGGTCGTGTTGGCCACGCCTCCCCGCCTGCCCTGCCGCCGGCGTGAATGGAGGAGTGATGCAATCTGCAGGCTTCTTGCTGCAGCCGGAAGGCTGTGTGTGCGCGTGTGTGTGTGTGTGTGTGTGTGTGGGCGCGCGCACGCGTGCTTTGCGAGGAGGGGCCTCAGGAACTAACCAGGATCCTGTCTCACAAGGTAATGTGACCTGGTGGCAGGAAGGAACAGATTAGAACCTAGGTTTGTCCTCCAAGGCCCCTCTATCCTGGGTCCCAGCCGCTGGGCAGGTTGGACCAGAGAACACTAACCTGGACGCCCGGGAAGAGGGACTCCCCCTGCTACCCTCCTCGCCCCCTCCTGCACTGTCAGTCCTCTGGGGGATGTCAGAGGGCTCCAGAGACCCGGGCTGTCCATACCACCTTGGACAGGCGGCGTCTCTGAGCTTGTTTCTTCTGTGCTGGGAACGGCAGTGCTGATTGCGTAGTACAGGACAGCTCTTTCCCCACCGGTCCTGAGGCCAGGACCGAGCATGTCACCAGCCCAGAGCCACACGAGGAAGGCCATGGGTGCTGTTTGCCTCAGGCACACGCTAGCCCTCTCCACTGAGCCTTTTGGCTCCTGCTGCAAGAGATGGCTGTGACATAGACACCTTGTCGGAGGCCCACGTTCTCACGGTCTCATTTAAACCCCCACCACTCCAAGGCCACACATCTTACTACGAGCCTCTGACAGGTGCAGAACACCAGCCTCAGAGCCAGGGGGCTCCTCCAGGGTCCCCTCTAGTAAGGGCCATGCCAGGTTCATATGTCACAGCCCTTGGCTGTCGTACCTGGGACAGGGAGACTTCTGAGTATTTCAGCTTTGGAATAGCAGCCGAAAACAAATCCTCAAAACATTTTTAGCCCGAACTTTCTTAATGTATAACATACAACCTCCGTCAACCATTGTATCAGCCAGAGAAGGCAACAACCAGGATGGAGAGAGCTGTTAAGGTCAGGTAATTTCCAGGAGAGATAAGCAGGCAGAGGTGGGGCCCATCATCCTGTCCAGAGCACACTGGGAAGATTTCCTGTTTCCCTTCTACCTGAACTGGTGCGTCTCAGCCAGTTAATTAGGGTGGATTTATCTCTTTGGGGCTTAACCCTCAGATAGTAAAATTACATGGAATTGCTCTAGCAGGGGAAAGATGCCACCTGGGCCCCCCAGCCCCAGGTTAGCTCTGCCTGGAAAAGAGACAGGATGAGCATAAAGCCTTTCCAGACTTCCTTACCTTACCGAAGCCTTCAGGGGAAATGATGGGTATGTGGTGGAAGGTGGGGAGAGGCCCTTCCCAGAGGCCCTCACCACGCTGGTTAATGTTTAATGACCAGCCCTCCGACAGAAGGCCCCCGTCTGTGCCCCTGCCAATTCCTGGTGTAAATGTTGCCTGGCCGGCTGGTTTCTAGCACAATGGGCAGGGAGCTGGGACGAGCCTAGCACTTCAGCCCAGAGAGACCTGAGGGCATGATGAGTGAGAAATAATGAAAGGGGAAGGGATCCGTGTTGGGCTCCTGGCCTTTGTTTTAGTCTAATCTTGATTCATTGTAAGTTTACAGAGTGGCTGTGTTACCAGCCAGCTCTCAAGATCCTTAAACACTTGGTGGGCACATTTATGAGCTGCCTCCCTGTCTCCATCGCTGCTCCCATCCAGGTGGGGGAACCGCCTGCTACTGGAGCTTGCGTGTGGTTTCCTGGACCAGCGAGGGCCACCCGAGCACAGCCGCTTATTGACCCTGGGGCTATCACACGCCCCTTTACTTCAGGTGTCATGGTCCCATTTGACTTGTCACGTGGACTTGTGCTAGCAGAGTACCTCACTCACCTGTCAACTCTGTGGGAGTCTAGAAGATTCTTTCAGAAGAAAGGGTTTCCCACCTTCAAGAAGTTTAGTAGACTGTGTGTGGACCTGATAAATTATGTTAAACTGGCCCTGGCCGGAGTGGCTCAGCGGTTAGAGTGTTAGCCCGCGGTCCAGAGAGACCTGGGTTCGGTTCCCACAAAGGGCATGTACCTCAGTTGCAGTTTGTCCCTGGCCCCTGTTGGGGTCATGTGGGTGGCAGCCAGTCAATGTGTCTCTCTCACGTCGATGCTTCTCTCTCGCTCCCTCCTGTTCTATCTGAAGATGAATGCAAAAGTGTCCTGGGGTGGGGATAAAAAAAAAAAATTATGTTAAACTGAGTAGGTGCAGAAAAGTGAATGCAGTCCCCCTCCAAATGGCAGGTTTGTTATCAATCTGTGGTCTTAAGGTAGTGCTCAACTCAAAGACTCGACTCAGGTGTGTGGAGGATGGGTTGGGGAGGAAAGGTAGCTGTTTTGATTGTCAGCCCCTTAGGAGGCTGAAATGTATTCATTAAAAAAAAAAGTCCTTTGTGACAGCCCAGGGACCCCCGGGATCACAGCTCAAGAGCTTGTGGCTCTCATCCTTTGACCTTGGGCCTGGAGAGCTGTCAAGTTTCTCAAAACAAGTCCCAGAGGCTGCGATCCCACCAAAGGAGCTGGGTTCCTCCTCTCGCTGTCTGTCCAGTGGGACTCACTCACTGCCCTGTCTCCACAGTGCTGCTCACGGCCGTGAACTGCTACAGCGTGAAGGCTGCCACCCGGGTCCAGGATGCCTTCGCTGCCGCCAAACTCCTGGCACTGGCCTTGATCATTCTGCTGGGCTTCATCCAGATCGGGAAGGGTGAGTGCGGCCCCTGGGCCTTCACAGTGGTCCTGTAAGTCCCTGCTGTGCCAGGGTGGAGGGGTCCCCACTGCTGAATGCCCCTAGATCCACCAGGTTCTGACACATCACTTCACCTGCTCTGCACCCTCACCCTCACCCTTAATAGGGGGTCCCCCACTCTGAATGCCCTCGGCCCTCAGGCCTGGCATGCTAGCATGAAGGGTACCATTTGAAGCGGGGCACTGACGTTGAGTTAGAGAGACTGAACATCACCCAGCAAGTTAAATCTGTCCCAGAGCAGCGGGGAGAACCGATTGGCCCTGTCCTCCGAAGCCCGCTCTCCTGCCACGGTCGGGGGTGGGGAGGTAGGATGGTGACATGGGAGTTCTCAGAGAGCCTGGCACCGTGCCCGGCACGTCACGAGCATGGCAGAGAGGAGCTGTTGCTAGTTCTGTCTCTTGAGGTAGATCTTGCCCAGGAAGCTACGCAGACTGTAGGTGCCCTACAGGTGAATGGTAGCGGCCCCCCAGGGGAGGGTGTAGAACATCTCAGTGCCCAGTAGGGCCCTTGTGCCCATGGATGCCCCACCCGTCCCCGTCCCCCATGCGACCTCTCCCCTGTGATCAGCGCTTTGTTCCATCTCAGGGGGGCGGCCCGTGCTGTGGCGTGTAGTGGCGTGTAGTGGCGGTACACCCTCCCGTGCTGGGCCTCGGACCTCGTGACTGCGCTATGATTTGCTTATCATTCTAGGGGCAAGGATGGGGTGGCCTCCCTGTTTCTCACCACCGTGGAAAACACTGTCAGGAACATTCGTATGGGTGTCCTTTGGTGAACAGAAGTACTGGTTTCTCCCGGAGTGGGTGGACAGCAGGCCCAGAGTGGGCATTGGCTTGGATCCACAGAGGAGCCATCCCTCAGTGGCTGGTCCAAGGCAGGTTCTGAGGGCCCCTCAGAGGAGGTCACCATGAGGACACACAAGCAAGGCCCCCTCAGCCCTGTGTATGGGAGGGCAGATGGGCATCGGGGCCTTCCCTGACATCTGAGTGCTTTTAGAAAGCTGGGGACACAGAGACCAGTCCCTGTGTCCCCTAGCTCACCAAGGGCACTGCTGAGCCCATGCAGCCGGTTCTGGCAGCAGCTCAGAGCTCTGCCCCGGGGAGAACCAGAATCTGGGCCACTTCCAAAATCCCATGTAGGCACAGGGGCTGATGTCGACTCCCCCCAGCGTGAAGCCTCCTGCAGCAGTGGCTGCCATCTTGTCTTAGCCCGTCCTCTGTCACACTTTGGAGCTGGCTAGCTGTGATTGTGTGATTGAAAAACCCCTAACAGCCTCATACCTGTGTCCTCAGGGCTTCTGCCTGTGAGGCCCAGAAATCCAGTCTTGCAGTTCTGGACTCCCCTGAGTGCATCCTCCCCCTACTGGCCACACGGGGCACTGCACTGTACCGGAATCTGACATCCACAGACCACGGGGCTGTGCACCGGGCATGCTTATGATTCAGGAGAAGGGGGTGCGTGTGGGACTGAGTGACTACCACATTGCCTGCCCTCGCCGGTCCTGTCTCGGGGTAGAGAGCAGCTCACAGTTCTGGTGTACGCTGACCTAGTAAAACTGAAGCAAGAATCCAGATCATTCAGGCAGACCATCTTTATTAAATATGTTGATATATGCAAAGCCTTTAGCATGGCACCTGGTATCTAGTGAGAACCGACTCCCATAGCTGCAATTGTCATCATCATTGAAGGGAGAATTTCACCCGATTTGCAGTCACTATCTATGGAAGGTGGTCTAGGTCACCCTGCTTCAGGAGCTGGACCTCCTGGGAGCATGTTCTGACCAGTGACGTCTGGCCCCCGGGAAGTCCTTCACACTACCTGTGGGTGAGCCCACCAGGCGGGGCTTGGATGAGCCTGAATTTGCTTTTACTCCGAGGCACCCCCGCTGTACTTGAGAGCCTTCCTGGGACTTCACATTCTGGCATCTTCCTGAAGACGAGGCCATTTCTTACTCTTTGTTTTTCGGGTCTCAGAGTAACTCCTTGACCTCATGGAGCGTGGTTAGGGCTGACGGAAGGAAGGAAAAATCCATCCTGCGCCCACCGCTTGGTCCAGCTAGGAGACGGGTCGTTTGATAGAAGCCTTGCTTGTGAAGGCATTTACTTGGCTGGTAGATTAGATACAGGCAGATGAGGAATGTTGGGGTGGGGAGGGGGCCAGACTTTTGTAAAAACAAATTTCAGTAGGGAGAGCAAAGAGCTTTTGTCCAGCCTGAATAATGTGTTTATAATTCTGTTGCTGTTGCAAACATCCACCCCCACCGCCCGCCCGAAGCGGTTCCTTTCTGAACTGGGGCTACAGTGCAACGTCTGCAAAATTCCTGCCTCCTGTTTTTCTTTAAAGAGGTTTACTTTGTTCCCAGATAAATGCCTTCCTCTCTAGAGGACGCATTGTTGAAAATGTTGACCCCCTTCACCCACAACATTTGTCTGACTCTGTTTCCCCTTGGGCAGCCTGCCCAATCCCGGTGGATCCCCGTGCTGATGGAAGGAGGGCAGAGGCTCTGCTCCATGTGCTCAGATTGGCCGCTGGCCATCCTGTGTCTGGAGAATGCGGCCTGGTGTCTGGCAGACTGGCCCGGGCACTGTCTCCCTCCTTCCCTCAGCCTTAAAGCAGTCTTCCTCTCTGGCCCACCTGGCACCCAGGTGGGCACAGGGCTGCAGAAGGGGCTCAGGCGTGGGGCCCAGCTGACCCACTTCAAGGTCAGCTGGCCGTTTGTTAGCCCCTGGCCTCCGTTGGCTTGTTTCCTCGTTGCCATAAGACGGGTGAGCAGTCCCGCCCTCGTTCTTCACCAGAACCTTCTGAAGCTCCAGGTGCGGCTCTGCGCCGAGACCCACTGAGGACTCGGCCCTGCCGTCCAGAAGTCACTCTGTGGTTTGGTGACACTGGACACACAAGAACAGGAAAACAGCAGACGGGCTGATGGGCTCCAGCCCAGACCAGGAAGGCCCTTCTGAGAGGGTGTGCCTGGATGAAGGCACAGAGCCTGGCAAGGGACTGCCCTTCAGGGTCCCCGGGGCTGAGATCTTGGGTGTGGGAGGCGCTCAGGCTACCCCTGTGGCTGGGGTGGGGGGCTACGGTGCTGGGTATGCGGGGTCTGGCGCCATCTAAGGTGTCTAGATTCACCCCCAGCCTTTTCAGGAGGGGAAACGGAGCTCAGGTGGGCCTTTCAGATCCAGGTGGCTGGAGCAGCCATCGCAGGAAGTGTGGGTGGGGGCAGCTTGGCATGGGGAGACCACAGAGAGAAGTGGGTGGTCAGGGTGGGCAGAGGGCACTTTGTGGTTCAGGACGTGCCTGCCAGCCGCCTCCACCTCCTTTTGCCCCTTTTTTTTGGGTCTGTCAGCCTCTTACCTACGACACGCTGCGAAGTCCACAGCCCCAAGGTCAGGCTGTTCACAGAGCCGAGCAGTTTTCCCAGGGCTGGAGGGTGAGCACGGAGTGCGGAAGGCTCATCCCTCGTGCCCAGGTCCCTTCCGCAGGACACACAATGGGACCCTTGTGGTTTTGCTCGGGCTGCGGCATCCGGTGGGAGGACAATTCGTGTCTCCTTGAACAGTTACACAACGGAGTACATAGTTGGGCAGATAAAAAAGTTTCCACAAAAATGCTTTCTTCCCCTCCTGCATTGCGTCCGAGCAGGATACCCTCTGGGAGGTCACGGGAGGAGACACGTCCTCTACACCAGGGCCTGGCCCCCCAGGCTCCGTGGCAGCTCACACAAGCTCGCCCAGCCACTAGGACATTGTCCCCAAGTGCCGGGAGACCTGGTGTAGTTGGCCCCGGGAACAGGGGCACTCGGACTCTGCGTTGATTATCTCCTGTGTTCTGGGGTGGGGTGGTGTCGAGAAAGCACAGGAGATGCCACGGGCCGGAGGAGCAGCCCTGCAGCGCGGGAGGCCCAGGCAGGCCCGTGAGTGACAGCGTGCTCCCAGGGCCAGAGGCTGGTCTCGAGCCCTTTTACAGTTTGCATTGGGTTCTCAGGTAATGGGGTTGGGGCTCAGAGAGGCAGTGGCTGTTCCCACGTTGCAGTGTCAGCGACCCCACACGGACTGTGACGGTGGGCACTGGTGCAGGGACGTGAGCGCCCTCAGCAGAAGGGGCCCCTCTGTCCTACCCAAGAGCTCGGTCGGTGTCAGGCTTCTCAGGGGAGGTGGTGTGAGGCCCACGCAAACAGGCCGGGCAGAGGCACGGAGGAGACGTCAGTCCTGGGAGGTCTGGGTCTCGAGGACAGCTCCCCTTGGGCAGGTCCCTTTGTTTACCAGAGCCTTGGTCTCCTAGTCTGTGAAAAGGCAACACTAGCTGCCGCAGCACTGGGGCCCTCTCTTGGTGTTGCGAAACGTTGCCAGGCATCTCAGTGGCCAGTGGAAAGGGCCCTCCTCCCTTCCAGGGGGGGGGGGGGGGGAGGGTGGTCAGCATGTCAAGTGATCCCAGGTTCCACCTCCCCCTCAGAGAGGATTTGAGGGTACCAGAATCCATGTCAGGGATCGTTGTCCCTCTGAGACTGCAGGATACTAACAGGGTAGGGTGAAGGGCTGGGGTTCTGTTCTCTGCACCAGTCGCCTGTGCCCCAGGAGACAGGGCCTCAAGCCCCCCCCCCCCAGGCCAGTCTGCCCTTCTGAAATGCCCACAGTGGCAGTCACACGGCAGGTATCGGAGCCCCAGGCCGCCAGGGAAGAACTTGTGGCGGTGCAGCCACCATCGAGGGAGGGTTGGTCGCTTTTCCTGCGGGTGCTTTGATACTTTGATTGAGTCCTTCCAGGCCTGCACGGCCATGCTAACTCGGCATCCAGAGGCATACCAGGTTTGCAGTCACACGCTCTGCGTGCTGCCCTCCGGGACGTAATCAAAGGCCCGGGAGTTGGGCCCTTTCCCATTGCCTCGCTCGCTCACCGCGCCCTGGGCGGTCAGCTGCACCGGCAGCCGTCAGGGCCAGAGCTGCGGCAAGGGTGGGGTGCAGCCAC